GGGGGGGGGGGGGGGGTTGGAAGGAATACTCTTCGTGATTTGGGCCCCAATTACAACGCGAGAATGATTAAATTGGGAAACAGAGGTGAAAAATACAAAAAAGTCCGCAAGGCTTCGCTCGGAGCGAGGACCCCCCGCCGTCTCAAGAACAGAACAACCGCTTTTGGATCAATAACGAGCACAAAAAAGCTAAATAAATAACTTTGAACAGAGGCGAGGTTTCATAGTTATCCGAGACACGGCTTGCTTTCGCGTCCTCGTCCCCGTCTACCTTGGCCGACCGTCTGCCCGCCGGGACAAGCAAGAGGGTCAACACTCGAGTCTCGTGTGTGTTTCTACTGCACACAAAACGATGAACGACTTGGGTGACGAGCGAAGCGAGCCGACGTGACGACGAGGTGAAAGCGGTACACCAAACAGCGCCGTCCCGCACATCTCTCCGTCTACACGATCTCAACGCGACGCGCATTGACTGGCAACACACATCTCGCTGCTCTAATGGTCGCGGTGCGTGTGTGTGTCTTTATTATTAGCATCGACCGCGCTAACCGGCTGACCAATGAAAAGACGTCAGTCTCAGTGCGGGTGAAAAACAAGAACAATTCTAAATGTCATTAACTGGAACCCCGTGAGGGGGCGGCATGGGGGAGACTAACTTATACTCCGGATCAAAGACAGAAACGGTAGCAACAGAAGGAAACTGCACACGTGTACGAAGGCTGCTACCTTGCACTCGAGTTCGTTTTGGGGTGCGTTCATCGTCATTCTCCTTCCTTCCAACTCTATCGTTCTCATGGTCATTTTCACAGCAACTTCTCGACATTTCGCCTCTAGCCCTGCGTCGTTTGTGGTGGGGAAGGTCATTTGTCTCGAAGCATGCGTGTGTGTGTGTCCCACAGAACTCCCTACGTCCATTCGAAAGTCGGGCAAGCCAGAGGGTCACAAAAAACGCCATCAACTCGTCTGGCATCACCATGACCTCAATCCCCAACTTTGGCCATCGGTCATCGGTCCTGTGGGAACAATGCACCGTGTGTGTGTGTGTGTCCCACAGAACTCCTACGTCCATTCGAAAGTCGGGCAAGCGAGAGGGTCACAAAAACCGCCATCAACTCGTCTGGCATCACCATGACCTCAATCCCCAACTTTGGCCATCGGTCATCGGTCCTGTGGGAACAATGCACCGTGTGTGTGTGTGTGTCCCACAGAACTCCTACGTCCATTCGAAAGTCGGGCAAGCGAGAGGGTCACAAAAACCGCCATCAACTCGTCTGGCATCACCATGACCTCAATCCCCAACTTTGGCCATCGGTCATCGGTCCTGTGGGAACAATGCACCGTGTGTGTGTGTGTGTCCCACAGAACTCCTACGTCCATTCGAAAGTCGGGCAAGCGAGAGGGTCACAAAAACCGCCATCAACTCGTCTGGCATCACCATGACCTCAATCCCCAACTTTGGCCATCGGTCATCGGTCCTGTGGGAACAATGCACCGTGTGTGTGTGTGTGTCCCACAGAACTCCTACGTCCATTCGAAAGTCGGGCAAGCGAGAGGGTCACAAAAACCGCCATCAACTCGTCTGGCATCACCATGACCTCAATCCCCAACTTTGGCCATCGGTCATCGGTCCTGTGGGAACAATGCACCGTCCTCTCGAGCACGCGTGGTCAACGGCCCATAGCCGCTAAGGCATGCAAAACATAAGAGGACGCCCCTCCCCCTCTCCCGCCCCCCCCCCCCCCCCCCCCCCCCCGGAGCTACGCCTTACCTGTTGTCGTACACCCCGCACTCCATCTGCGCGTTGGGCTTGATGCACCGTACGAAGTTGCACGTCGTCTCTAGCAGGGTCGCGTTGAGCCCCCGCATCGAAGCAAGGAAAGCCTTCGCGACCGTTGGTCGCATGAGGCTCAGCTGGCGATGATGGATGGCGGGCGCGCGCGGAGATTCGGGGGGGGGGGGGGGGGGGGGG